CTTAATCTCTGTTCAATCAGATAACATTGTCAGCGCTATGAATTTTAAGTTAGATATTTTCTATAAAAACATTATTATTATAAATTCTTCAATTTTATAATAAGCTTTTTTACAAAGAAAATATTTTATGACAAATTTGAATTTTTTTTCTGGCAAATTGACTACAGACTCTGGGAGTTTGTTGTAAAACCTTACGCAATTTCCATAAAACGAATTACTAACTTTTGTCAGTCGGCACTTAGGTAAAACTAGTTTATTTGACATTAAGTAAGCTTTTATTAGTGTACTCACCTACTTTTTTAAAATTGTCATTTTTTTTCCTGGCGTACATAATATTTTCGTAAACTTGTTTTGAGTCCCTCGTGCAAGGCAGATTAATTCTATTACATAGTGGCTATGACTTGTGTTTTGTGTAAGACGAACTTCTTAGTATTCCATGGATTCACCGATGCTGGGTCCATCGTGTGACAGAGAGGGAAATTCCGAGCAGATCCCGGGACTTGCGTACCGGGTGTAGAATAGAATAGAATAGAATAGAAAATCATTTATTCAAATAAACCTAATTTAAGCACTTTTGAATAGTCATAACATTTTTTTTTATCTGTCGCTTGTTCGAAGAACGAGCAAGAAAATTGTATGTTGCTCTTTTAAATAATCCTTGTAAGTTTATATTTACAAGTCGAAACGTGTGAATACAAACTACCAACCAGCACTAATTTTTTGGGTCAAATATAAATATACAATAAGATTAAATCAGTCGTAGTGATAAGAGCAGACCAGTCCGTACAAGCAGCACTCGTTCACGAGTATGACAGTTGAGCTAGCCATCAGTCCACTCTACCATATTTTAGGGAGCCCAATGACCTAACCCACCACGCCGCCGCATAGGTTTAGCCCTTTGGCGACGTATGTCATGACACTCACCTTCACTCGTGTTGTCTCCCTGCCAGCCATCCTCAGCCTCATCTTCTCGTCCTGCCCAATCAAAAAAGTTTACATTTTTTTAAATATAGAATATATCTGATCTGGATGGTGAGATCTACATCCTCTGGTATTTTATAATGAGTTTCATACAATAAAATAGATCAGTCAGGTGCAATAGTATTCAGAATCGCTTGTTGTTGGCTTTAATAGAGTTCTTAAATTTGTAATAACTTTTCTGTACTTATTGTAGACATTAAAGAAAATACCTACCGCAAAGAAAGTTTTCCGTAATTTTCTAATAATTTTAATCTGTTCCACTCTGACATTTACTGATGTAGAATTCAATTTTATCCGCCATAAATTAAAATTATTAATAATTCCAATTTCAAAACAGGATTACACAAACTCCTTTAGTAAAGTCAATATTTTTAATAATTCATAACAAACTTGGATTAGTGGATTAATAAAGTTGTGTTGCAAACCAAAAAGAATTATGATTAAGGGATATAATATCCATTACCGTTATAACTTGGACCCTGAAGAATTATAATTAATTAATTAAACTTTTTGTTAATATCCGTGCCATCTTAAGTCTAAGCGTCTTCTTACTTGGACCAAATGTAGAAAAAAATAATAACCCTAAAGTAAAAAAGACAATTCTAGAAATATGGACTACGCTAATTACTATTTACTAGTAAGTAGAGTGATACATGTTTTTAAAAGATTATAAATATATTTTTCTTTTAATAATTAAAATAGAATAGAATAGAAAATCATTTATTCAAATAAACTTAATTTAAGCACTTTTGAATAGTCAACATTTTTTTTAAATCTACCGCTTATACGGAAAGTTGTCTCATCACAAGAAGAATAAGCAAGAAACTTGTGTGTTGCTCTTTTAAACAATCCTTGTAAGTTCACATTTTACAAGTCGAAACGTGTGAATACAAACTACCAACCAGCACTAATTTATTTAGGCTCGAATATAAAAACACAATAAGATTAAATCAGTCGTAGTGATAAGAGCAGACCAGTCCCTACAAGCAGCACTCGTTCACGAGTATGACGGATGAGCCAGCCATCACTGCGCTCGACCATATTTTAGGGAGCCCAATGACCCGGCCCACCACGCCGCCACATGTCTGGACATTTTAGTGAGCATGACTACTCATTCCACTCGACCACGTTACAGCTACAAAAATTACTATATGGTAGTTACAGTATTCGCACTTTACATGAGGATCCATGCGGCAATCAATACAAAAGCCGCTACGCTATCATATATCAAGAAAGCAGTATGAAAAATAAATGAAAATTTGATATGATTTCGAAGTCTGCTACTAGTTATCACACATAAGATTGAACATTTACTTAAAAAAATACAAAAAACATGTCACGTAGATATATATACATTGTTAAATAACATAATATACTTTGAAACCAATTGCCTGACCAATACCAATACAAACATACTTATGAATATAAAATGTTTGTACCATCCCCAATCATGGCAATCGAACTAGCGATCATCGGAATTAAGGCTAAACCGCTAGACAACCGAGTCTGTCAATTATTGCACCTTTATTTTCATCATCCTATAGATAGACATGCAGCAAAATATAACAAATTAAAAATTACACAGTCAGATAATATAAGATTTTACGTACTTACGCAAGTAGTGCGCAGTATACAATTTGAAGAACTGTAACAATTACAGCTTAAATAGAACCCTAGTTGCCTCTCCAAATAATGCTCGAGATGGGACACAGCCGTGGCAGTGTAGCTACTTATAAACACTAATCCCATAGTCTCATAGTTTGTACACCAAAACTCCAGCCAACAGCTAAAGAGTTGGATGCTGTTAGTTACGCTTTGTCGCTCCCAAGTTTCGCGTACTCATTTTTGGTCGCAAAACTGTTAGCCGCTTCTCACTGGATAAGAGGCTTTGTGTTGTTGAAGCCTGTTATTTTTGGTGTCCTGTTTATAGAGGATTGTCTTTGAATAATTTGACTTCTACTTTGTAGAAAATCCCTATCTAGGTATCTTGGCTTGGTGGTAATTTGTTGTCCTAAAAATTTACCAGTTTTTGTAAATAATATATTCTGCAAAGTCATAGTATAACAGTTTGTTCTATCATCAATAGTTTTCGCAGCGCACGCGGTATAAGCTATTTTTTATGTAATTTTTACACCTTGGGTTACATTAATAGATGTATAATTTTTTTTAATCAATTGTTTTTCTTATTTTTTATATTTGCACCGGCTATAATTTTTCTCTGCACAACCTATGTGTTGGCGACCGACCGCCGAACTCTTCTGATATTGTTATTATTTTTAAATTTTTATTTTTGCAGAGTTCTTTTCTATATGTCATGTTATTTGATATGATAACAATTTACCAGTTTCAGATTTTTCCCTTTATATTCACCTAATTACCTATCTGCATGCCAAATTTGAACTTCCTAGGTCATCTGGAAGTGGGTTATAATTTTGATCTATAGTTGATCAGTGATAAAAATGACGATATTTGGACGTTAATATCTAAATAACCGTTTGAGATATGTTTATGAAATTTGGAACACATATTTATCTCGCAAGTCTGAATATATAAACCAAATTTGACAGGTTTATCTGAAAGAGTTTTTGAGTTATGAGGGGGGCAAAAGTGGCTCCAAATGGTTCGTGTAAATATATATACGGTGCTGCTCGCCAGTTGTCTTACTTGAAACTACAATTTATTGTATTATTCTCTTATTGTCTTTTCATAATTTCGCATCTGCACAATAATATACTATTATTATATAAACTATGTGTTTTCATCATTTAGACACCCATACAGTCCACCGATCCATTACACTATGGTTGACTGGTATAAAATACCGTAAGGCGTTAAGTTCCACATATGTACCTTGGTATTTTGTGAATTGAATATATAAATAAAATTACTGGTTTTTTTAGGGTTTTTTTTTTAGTAGGGATTCCTATTTTTTTTTGGAAATATAATGGCCTAGCACCCACGCATAGTGTAGCTTCCTAATGGTGAAAGATTTTTCAAATCGGTCCAGTAGTTTCGGAGCCTATTCAATACAAACTAACTAACAAACCTTTCTCTTTATAATATTAGTTTAGATTTAGGTAGATAATATGCTATATGGACGAGCTTGGTGGTAAATTGCCTGATCTAAATATTTACGTTCTTCTCTGCAAAGTTTACTCTATAATTACAGTAAATATAAAGTTATTTTTATCATTATTCTATATACATTATAATACCAATATAACGAATATTTTATCCAATTTTTATACCGTATATAATTAGGAAAATACACGCAATCTTATTTTTATTGAGTTCCCGATATTTTTATACCGTCCTGGATTGTTCATGCGAATGAGCTAAAGTTTCTTTTTGGTGATAATCTGAATTTCTGTTTCGTCTAATTTTAAATAAAACTTGTTTTAAGTAATTCTGTCTAGTACGAAATCTTGATGCCTTATGTTGCCTTATACTACGGGAAAAATTTTATGAGGCAACCGTCGCCTATGTACTGAAGATTAGCAGTATCACGAGCTCAATCGTTTCCATTCCAGAGAACTAAGATGTTACGCATCTTATCATATGATTTCACTACCTTAGCTCACCCTACAACCGAAACAGCTTTAAGAGTAAGATTAGAGATAATAGTGCAATTTTTTATTTGTATATATTTTTTTGTGTATCTACTTTTTTATATTACTGTGCCATGTATATGTTCTTTAACGCAAATAAAAGTTTTATCTCTGTATTACTTTACTTTTAATTTAGGCTTATTCCTCACTAAACGATTACTTAAATGAGAAGCATGGCAATAGTTGTTCATGGAGGGGATTTTCATTTAATGTTAGACATAGACACCTATATAAGTGTATAATGTAAATAAACTTGCTTTATTAAAAAAAGAAATTCAGTTGAGTTTCTTGCCAGTTCTTCTCAATTGAATTTGTACATATATTGAACTAGACGGTATGGAAAACAATATTAATACAAGAAATTTGACGTTTTTAAGCGATTTTAATTTGATTTTGACTTAACATTTTCAGGTCTTCAGGCAGACACCGCGTATGGTCAAGTGTTGTGCTTGCCGCCCTCAGCATGCTGGCGAAGGAGACAGGCCTTACAGTTCTGCTGTTCAACGTAACCTTCGATTTATATCGGTGCTGGAGCCCCATATCAAAGTAAATATGTACATGTTATAATTCTAACACTAGGTCAAATACGACTGCATTTTACCTGTTTTTGGCAATTGCCTATTGGTGATCTTATACAGATTGTCCCAAGAGAAGAGATCACGACCAACTGAAAGCAGGAGATCAAGTCAGCGCGGGTATAAGAAAAATAAAAAAAACATAACCAAGTATTGTAACTATAAAAAAATTAAAAAACCAACACCACTCCGAAAGAACCCCCCCCCCCCCCCCAGTTCAAATGGGTACATAATTACGAAGGCCTGAGGCGAGGTTCGAACCTCTACACAGTGTTTTAGGACAAGCCCGTATCCGTTAGGCAGGAGATTGAATTCAGTTAGTACCTGTATATGATTTTAGCCTGTATAAAACAAAGTTGCTGTCGCTGTCTGTCCGTCCCTATGTATGCTTAAATCTTTAAATCTACGCAACGGATTATGATGCGTTTTTTTAATAGATAGAGTGATTCAAGAGGAACATTTATATATGTATAATACATATACACTGCGAAGCCAGGTCGAGTAGCTAGTGTATATAACGAAATTTTACCCGCAATATGTGACGTGTTTCAGACCATCCTTAGCAGTGAAATGGAGGTGGAAAAGCGACAGCCACTGGGGTCGAGTGGTGCGGGTGCTGACTGCTCTGTCGTTACTCATAGCGGCTCGACTGGCGCTGCTACAAGGTTCATTGCCGGCTTTCTCACCACAGGACAACCCGCCAGCCTTTCATCCGTCCTTCATCGTCAGGTTTGTATGCGTTACACCTTATTTTAAATACACACTAACAAGTAAAAGGGATGCGATAATCAGTACAGAAACCGTTACGTCCTCACTCTGTGCAATCAGATAATATTGTCAGTATTATGAATTTTAAGTTTTGTCTACAAAAACATTATTATCATTTATAAACTTTTCAACTTTATAAATGAGATTTTTAGAAAGTGAATAAAAAATCATAAATTTTTTTATTCTTTTTAATTTAGTTCCACTGCAGTACTCTTTTTTTTTGATTATTTAAATTATTAACCGGGTCTTAACACGAATAATTTTATGGCAAATAAAGGTATTTACCTCTCTCGACGTTTCGACTAGGTTGCACTAGTCTTTTTTTTTGCTTTGTAATAAAAGTCGTTTGACGGCCTCGGTTGTTTAGCGGTTGAGCACACTGCTTTACTTCCTACAGTCGCGGGTTCGATTCCTCACACGGTACAAATATTTGTATCTATGAATATGATTGTTTGTATCGATCTGGTGTTTTTTATGTATAAAATGTATCTATTTAGAAAAAAAAATCAAAGTATTTATATCAGTTGTCTAGTACCCATAACACAAGCTCTGCTTACCTTGGGACTAGATGGCGTTGTGTGAATTATCCAAGATCTTATTATATTTATTATTTATACATTTTATTTTATTATTATATACATTATTATTATTGTTATTACTTTTCTTCTTGGCTTTCACCGGTATTTTTGCTATGTACAGGCCTATGAGCTTAGTGGAAGATAGCGGAAGTGGCAAGAGCTTCACCGACAAGAGCGTAGCTCTTAAATTATGAATGAATGACTGAACCTATTATTATCCAATTTCAGGCTAATGACTTTCTGCTACCTGGCTGCCTTCAACTGGTGGCTACTGCTGTGCCCCTGGACGCTCAGTCATGACTGGCAGATGGGGTCCGTTCCGCTGATCACCAGCGGTTGGGATCCAAGGAACTTGCTCACGTGTGCTGCTATTATTGCATTAGTTGCACTATCATATAGATGCCTGATGGATTTAGAGGTATAGTGTAAAATGAATTTTGTTTTTCACTTATTTGAGGGTACTAATGGCCCATGTAGATGCTAGCTGACCCAGCATACGTTGTTTTGCCATATAAATTATAATCGCTATTACAACAAGGGTTGCTGGTAGAAGGGTAAAAATTTAGGGCTGTATTTATTTTTTATTGCCACATTATAAAAAGAAAAAAAAATATTTCATCGAAAAATTAAAAAATTTTTTTTAGGGTGAGTCACTCTTAACATTTAGGATTATAAAAATTAGTTATAAACTTACTCTCGCACCTACTCAATAAAATAATAACGAATAAAATTTCATCAAAATTGGTCAAGCCGTTGCGGAGGAGTATAAACACGATACCTTTGATAAAAAACCTGAGAATTTTATATATTAGACTAGCTACTCGCCCCGGCTTCGCATGGGTGTATAATACACCTTATACATATATAAACCTTTCTCTAGAATGACTCTATCTATTAAAAAAACCGATTCAAAATCCGTTGCGTACATTTAAAGATTTAAGCATACATAGGGACGGACAGACAGCGACAGCGACTTTGTTTCATACTATCTAAAGATAAATATCTTATAGACTAACATACCTACTAAGAATTTTCGCTTAAAAGCATCAGTGTGGGGACTGAACATGACTATCTGTTATGTATGCGAATAATAATTTTAACGAAAAGAAAGCAAAATATGTTAAAGGCGACCAAATTATGCAATATCCAATAACAGCACCCTTCCTGGCCTGCATCACCTGGATTGCAGACAGGACCGAGAAGACGTTGATTGATCGTATTTTTTTATTATTTTTGATAATTTATTTTTAAACGGCCGAAGCAAAACCCGTCCTTTCCAACGAACCAATAGGGCACATGAGTTAGACATGCTTCAATATATATCTTTTTCGGTTTAGTGAGTAATGAAATTAATTGAAATGAATTTTATTTGCAAAAAACTGATGATGGTAATATGTTTACAGTGGTCTAGCAGTTTAGCATACCGCTTTACTTCCGAAGGTCGCGGGTTCGATTCCTCGCACGGTGCAAGCGTGATGTGTGTGATTATTTGTATCGGTCTGTGTTGTAGTAATAAGAAAAAAGACTAGGTAAAAACGGAGAAAAATAAATATTAATATAGACTACTGACAATTAGGAATAGAATGATGGAATTAAAGTATCAAAAGAAGAAGTATCAAGAATGTAATATAAAAGAACTAGAAATTCAAATATAAATTTAAAATATAAAACTTATCTTCATTAGCCAGTTACAACAGTCTGGATGTTTTATATGTATATTACTAGCTACTCTCCCCGGCTTCGCATGAGTATATACATGTATAAACCTTCCTCTTGAATCATTCTCTCTATTAAAAAAAACCCCTTTAAAATCCGTTGCGTAGTTTTAAAGATTTAAGCATACGTAGGGACGGACAGACAGCGACCGCGGCTTTGTTTTATACTATGTAATGATAATGATGTATGTATTTACAAAAAAAAGTATCTAAGTATTTATATCAGTTGTCTAGTACCCATAACACAAGCTTAGCTTACCGTGGGTCTAGATGGCGCTGTGTTAATTGTTCAAGGTTATTTATTTATTATTAATACGTTCAGGTATCTTATTGGCAACTGTTTACCCCATTTCATGGGTATACCATTACAGTACGTGCTTTCCTCTCCAAAAGCGAATGGATCTACATGAGGATTGTCTCGAAGTGAAAAAAAAAATTTTTAGGCCCCAATTTAATTTTTATATAAACCTTCAAATTGTAAATCAAGCTTTAAAATGTTTTTTTTTCAGTTACAAAGGCACACCCCAGTGTTGGTAGGTTTGATGCTGCTAGTGATACCATACCTGCCTGCATCCAATCTACTAGTCACTGTTGGCTTCGTGGTGGCTGAGAGAGTACTATATATACCAAGGTAACCAATTGCAATCTAAAATAGAATAATATAGAAATTTTCTTAAAAAAAATATAAATGAAAATGGAACAAACAAGTTTTTTTTCGGACTACTCTAATGCTGTTGGCCGCAGCTGGCCTTTACAGCGTCACCGGACGATAGGGGGCGAGTGCAGATGGCACTCCAAACCCGCGGAAGGACTTATGGAGCGGCTGAAGGCAAACTCCCGCCTGACAGATACGACTTTAGTCTGAGGGCACCGCTAGGAGTTCGAACAGAGTTTTTACATCTGTTAATTCACATTTACTGAGAAAAGCCTACTCACTAAACGATTACTTGAATGACGAGCGTGCATGGTTGTTCATGCACGGGATTTTCATTTAATGTTAGACATAGACACCTATATAAATATAAATTGTAAATAAACTGGCTTTTAAAAAAAAAAGTAATCAATTGAGTTTCTTGCCAGTTCTTCCCAATTGGATCTATATACCGACCTGGACGGTAGGGAAAAAAATATAATGTAAAAACTTGACGTTCATAAGCGGCTAAAATGTCCTACATGAATAAATGATTTTTGAATTTGAACCTCGGCTCTGGCTGATTAATTTAAAAATCACCCTCCTGTCCTATTTTCCAGTGTGGGATCTGTCATCATAACAGCATACGGCATTCAGTTACTGTGGCGACACTACGGGGGTAGTAAAGGGTTGTTGGTGCTGGTCGTTGGGGCGCTGGTTGGTGCCGGAGTAGCAAGGACTCACCTGAGGAACAGGGAGTGGAGGACCAGGGAGACTTTGCTCAGGTAGGCAATGAAATACTCCTATATACCAGCACATTTGTTATTTATGTATTTATTTACTAGCTGACCCGCGTGACTTCGTCTGCATCACACATATGTAAATTGGTCAAGTAAAACCAATTGAATATTTTTTGTTCTTTTCCCAAAAATTCTCATCTCCCCTCTTAAGGAGAGGAGATGGCAACATACCCCCGGCAGAAGCACAGTCGGCCGGGGTTCAGGGCCCCAGGGAGAGAAACCGGCGTACAATGCGGGCAGAATCTAACAGCACCGCTTTCTGCATCTTTCCCGGGAGTGAGCCGCCCCGGAATCCCAACCGTCTGAGATGTTGTTCCAAACTGGTTGGGATAAGACCGTTCACCGACATAACGATTGGAATGATTTCGGTGGACATCACCCCCCACATTTCGGTCACCTCGTGAGCCAGGTCGAGATACTTTCTCTTTTTCTCAGTTTCGGCTTTATTTTTTGTTATTATTATTCATATTATTACACCCTAAAGAGTAACATACATCTACCCATCCATACATATATACTCACAAACTTTTGCAGTTATAAGATAGTTCCTTTAAAGTCAAAAACATAACTGAGGATAAAGTTATGTTACAAGCTGTGCAATCGCAGTCGCAGGTTTTATTCCTCGCACGATACAAATATATTCATGATCATGATTGTTCGTATTGATCTTAAGTGTGTGTATGGATTAAAAAAATGTATTTAAGTTGTAGCTGATGTGTCTCAAAAGTCTAAATTAAATTAAAGAGACAGCTGTCCGAACGAGAGGTAGATAAAAAACAAATTGTTATGACTATTCAAAAGTGCTTAAATTAAGTTTATTTGAATAAATGATTTTCTATTCTATTCTATTCTATTCTCGCGACTGCAAAACGGACCTGAAAAATAAAACTAAAATATTAATAAAAACATAACACATAAAAACATATAGAAATAACCATAAAATATATAAACCAATACTTACCTTTCACTATATATATGTATAAATTGATACTTTACTGTTAAAATATATTGTTTGTTTGTAGGGTGTATCTATAAGATTCTATGTTACATACCTGTATACCTACTTATTTGGTAATTAAATTGATCTCACCGCTTGTGCGTAAATAGCGACACCTATAGCAGTTATCAGTTCCCTCGCACCGCAGGCGAACGCGTCCACTATCCTCACGCTATATATGCGCAAGCGACACGGACAGCTGTAAACTTCAATCATTGTTTCATTCCTGAAAATTTCACCACTCCACTTGCGAGAGTGTTTTAAGGATTTATTTATGAAAATATCATCTATGCCAGAAGGAATATAGACAGTTTCAAAAGAGTTAGTGATTGCACTAATAAAAGCTTACGTAACAATAACAAACTGATTTTACCTAAATGTCGTTTGGCTAAAGTTAGTAATTCGTTTTATGGCAATTGCGTAAGGTTTTACAATAAAATACCAGAGTCTGTTATAAATCTGCCAGAAAAACGATTTAAATGTCAAATAAAACAGTTCCTTTGCAAAAAAGCTTACTATAATATTGAAGAATTCGTTAACGATAATAATGTTTTTATAGAAAAACTTTAAATCCATAGCACTGACAATATTATCTGATTACATTAATAATGAGTGCGTAGCGACTTCTATGTTGATTATCGCATGCCTCTTACTTGTTATACTGTAATTATTTATATAAAAAAAAAACATCTATTAAAAAGAGCAACACACAAGTTTCTTGCTCATTCTTCTTGTGATGAATCTGCATTCCGAATGAGTGGTAGAATCAAAATATGACTATTCAAAAGTGCTTGTAATGAGTTTATTTGAATAAAGATTATTTCTATTTCTATTTCTATTTCGCTTATATACGCTTATCTGCATCGGTTTCATAAGTATTACTATCAATTTGTATTAGTCTGAGTGATTTTTAAAATCTACTGTGTATGTAGTTACAAAATATGTGTTTAAATATTTCTAACAGTTGTCTAGTACCTACCTATAAAACAACCACTGCGCTGTTTAGCTAGGGACTAAGTGACTCTATATGTATTGTCCAGAATTATTATTATTTGTTACTATTACATTGTTGATTTAATTATTGCGGTATGATTGGAGGCTTTATTTATATGCCAGTTTTGGTTGTATATAAGTAGTTTATTCTAATTAGTTTATTAGCATACAGCGTTATAATTTGTTTATATCATTGCTTTCTTGATTCAATTATTTTAGAAATATGAAAGCGTAGCGGGTTTTGTATTAATTGCCGCATGCATTCTTATGTGAAATGTGAATACTATAAACATCAGATGGCAATTGTGAGTAGCTATGACGTGGTCTGGTGTTTTGAGTAGTCATGCTCACTAAAATGTCCAGACTTGTGGCGGCGTGGTGGGCCGGGTCATTGGGCTCCCTAAAATATGGTCGAGCGCAGTGATGGCTGGCTCATCCGTCATACTCGTGAACGGGTGCTGCTTGTAGGGACTGGTCTGCTCTAATTACTATGACTGATTTCCTCTTATTAATTGTTTAACCAGTTGGTTATGTATTCAATATTTTTTTCTTTTTGAGTATTTAATTGAATTAGTGCTAATCGGTGGTTTGTATTCACACACTTAAACTTAAATTGTAAGTAAGAATAAATTATTTAAAAGAGCAACACACAAGTTTCTTGCTTGTTCTTCTTGTGATGAGACAGCATTCCGAATGAGCGGTAGATTAAAAAAAAAAAAAAAATGTTATGACTATTCAAAAGTGCTTCAATGTAAGTTTATTTGAATAAATGATTTTCTATTCTATTCTATTCTATTCTAATAATAGTAATTTACAGCTATATATAGTAATGAAGAACAGTATACAAAAATTAGTGATCAGAAATACAATAATTGTAAGGAAGTCTCTAGAAGAAGTCAAATTGTAGATTGTTTTTCCCGCGCCAAACGCAACGCGCCACAGAGTCAAAATATACGGTGGCGCGCAGCCGCAGTAGGACGATGAGCGCATTATGGCAGTATGAGCGATGTTAATACCACAGATAATATATGTTAATACTATGAGTATTAACAATTATTGTCTAGAATTATTATTATTTATTACTATTACATTGTTGATATAATTAAAATGTATGTTGATTTCAGAGCTGATTTATCAGTGTTGCCTCACAACGCGAAGTTGCATTATAATTTCGCTAACTTTTTGAAGGACATTGAGCAACAAGAGAGTGCTGTTAGGCATTATAAAGAGGCTTTAAAGTGAGTATTGCTAATATATTTCTAACATTATATAGTATAAAATAAAGTCGCTGTCGCTGTCTATCCGTCCATATGTATGTTTAAATTTTTAAAACTACGCAACGGATTTTGTTGCGTTTTTTTTAATAGATAGTGTGTTTTAAGAGGAAGGTTTATATATATAATACATGTACACCCGGGCGAAGCCAGAGCGAGTAGCTAGTTACTAATATTATATCTAATTATTATTGAACTAGCTGTTCCTGTGACTTCGTCCGCGTGGATTTTAACTTTATATTTCTAAAATAAAAGTAGCCTAAAGAACTAAAAATAATTTTCGTCTTAATTTATTCGTTCCATTAGGTACTGGTAGGTTCATACTAATACATTTTATCCCCATGGGGGTTGAATTTATCAAAATCCTATTTAAGCGAACGTCTTCATCATAGTAGTTCCAATCTTTAATTTCAGTTCAAGCAGTCGAAAATCTAAGAAGATTTATACAAACTTTCATCCCCTATTTTATCCCCTTAGGGGTGGAATTTATCAAAATCCTTTCTTAGCGGATGCCTACGCCATAACATCTACCTGCATGCCAAATTTCAGTCCGATCCGTCCAGTGGTTTAGGGTGTGCGTTAATAGATCACTATGTCAGTCAGTCACCTTTGAGTTATATATATTTAGATTTAAAAAATCAATTACAAAAAGGTATAAAACACAATTTCAATTACTCATTGTTATTCTGCATGCGTTGTAACTCGCGTAATGAAAATACTTATACTCCAATTTTATTTATATGTATAGATAATGGAATGGTGCACCCGCCTGCGCTAACGGTTTACGCTGGCGGGGCACCAGTGGTGGATGATAAGATGAGCATGAGGTCAGGTCAGTTAGCCCATCGTGACGTCACCAGGAATTTATCACGATGGGATTTCTAGGCGGAACCGAGTGGAGGTGAACTTAACATGGTACATTGCTAGCAATAAGATTATCAATCCACATTTCACAGGGAATTTCCCCCAATAGCCGTATATTCTTTTGACTACTTTGTAATAGTGTAAAATGATTGTAACTGTTTCAGATTGTGGCCAAGTTACGCCAGTGCTCACAACAATCTTGGCACACTGGTAATGGAGTCAGGTCGAGCTGAACACCACTTCTTGCAAGCTCTTAAATACAACCGGGAACATATCAATGCACATTATAACCTCGCTAAACTATACAGGTGAATTGTGTTGCTAGCAATAAATAATTATTTTATGTTTTAGTTTATGGTAATAGCGATACTGTGCCGAGGGTGGCACCACTGAATCTCTCTCTCCCTCTGGTTTCCACGGCTTTGTCTATCATACGTGGATCAGTGTAATTCAATATCAAAAATCATTTATTCATGTTGGATATTTTACCCACTTATCAATTTATTTATATTATAATTTTTTCCCTACATCCACTTTAGTATATAGATCCAATTGAGAAGAACTGGCAAGAAACTCAATTGAATTACTTTTGTTTTTAAAGCCAGTTTATTTACAATGTATATTTATATAGGTATTTATGTCTAACATTAATTAAAAATCCCGTGTATGAATAACTATTGCCATGCAAGCTCGTCATTCAAGTAATCGTTTAGTGAGTAGGCTTTGCTCAGTAAATATGATTTAACAGATGTTTTGAATTTATTTAAGGGTAATTCCAATATATCCTTTGGTATCTTATTGTACATTTTTATACCTATTCCCATAAAAGACCTATTAACTTTTTCTAAACGATACTTGGGGACAGCAAGTTTGTCTTTAAATCTAGTATTAATATTATGAATAGTGCTGTTTTTTGGAATTATATGTAAGTAATTAAATTCTTGAGTGGTTTAAATATAATACGTTTATTTGCGCCTGTGGTAATGAGCATTATATTACTCAGAGCAGAATTGCTATTACTGTTTTAACAAATATCTCAGAACAATTCACACAGCGCCATCTAGTCCCAAGCAAACCAGAGCTTGTGTTATGGGTACTGGACAACTGATACAAATAAATAGATACTTTTATTTTGTAAATACATATATAATATACATAGAAAACACCCAAACCGGTACAAACAATCATACTGATGAATACAAATATTTGTACCGTGTGAACAATCGAAATCAAATAATACTGGCCAGATGATATAGAAACTCATAAAAAGCACTTAAAATAAAAAAGAAACATCAAAATTACAATACAAAAAAAAAAACAGTCATATTTAAAACCATTTATTTTCTTAAATCGGTTGCAAGTTGACTCTGATGAATTAATTTTGTATTTAGTAAACTTTTTGTTATTTTGCATTTGTGACTTTCCGTTCCCTTATTCCTACTAATACCGAATTGTATTGCATTTAGAAAAAAGAATCGCATAACCGATTCACTGAAGATGCTGGAGCGGTGTATTTCATTGGAGCCACGATTCGTTCAAGCATATTTAGAGCTGCTGCTTATAACGAACGAGAATGAGAAGAGGCCGATATTGGACAAGCTCGTGGAGCTGGAACCAAATAATTGGGAGCATTTTCTTTTGTACGGTAATTGGTTTAGAGATAGAGGTAAGTTATTGCAATTATTTGAAACTACTTATTAGTCTATATGTTTTACTTTCTATATAACAAATCCATATGCAATATAAAAATCAAAATAATATAGCGTAAGTAATATTTTTATTTCTTTCTTTATTTACCATAATTGAGTAATAAGAAGAATCTAGTTGTTGAGTCAATGTCCTTAGGCCTTCATCCGCTCCATAAATGTTTTCGCAAGTTTAGAGTGCCATCTGCACTCGCCTTCTATCGCCCGGTGAAGCTGTAGCTGCAGCCAACAGCATCAGAGTAGTCCAAAGAGAAACATACTTCTATGTTCTCATAGTTCAGAATTTTATCTTCAAGTTTTTTAAACAGACGAGTATTTATTCTAACTTATATTTATTGGTCAGACTAAAGTCGTATCCGTCAGGCGGGATTTGGCCTTCTGCCTCTCTATAAGTCTTTCCGCAAATTTGGAGTGCCATCTGCACTCGCCCTCTATCGTCCGGTGAAGCTGTAAAGGCCAGCTGCGGCCAACAGCATTGGAGTGGTCGGTAAAAAAATATTCTATGTACTCATAGTCCAGAATGTTGTCTTCAAGAAGTTTTTTAAAGGTATTTACACTAACATATACATATTTATTGGTTTTAGATTTGTTGCCTTTGTCATCTGAGTATTATACGATAGCAATGAGATTGTCGTTTGCTGGTGAGACACAGAACAGTGAACGCGGTAAGATACTGTCGCTGCGCGCTGCCTGCTTAGCGCTGCGTCGAGCAGGGCAGCGGGCCAGAGTACTGCAAATGCTTACTAGGTAATGATGACCACATAGTAGAAATTGGACCATACAGATATAGCAAAAGATAAGTTACAGATTTACAGATAAAAACTGTGGCCCTATTTTTTTAAATATATTATGCCCAATTTACACTCAGCCCGAGTGGGCAGGGAAGTAGCGCGAGAGTGTAAACACGAGTGGAAACACTTTCCATGCTATTGGCGCTGCCACTCGCGCTGCCGGCGCTCCCTCGATTGTAGGTTTTTGGGGCGCGAGTCAAAGGACTGGCAGCGAGAGTGGCAGCGTGTTTTTACATTCAGCGTGTTTTTACGCTCAGTTGTCGCCCGGCAATATTTCTGGCAGCGTGAGTGGCAAGGGAAGTGGCTGAATGTAAACGTAGCATTAGTTGTAGAAGCAATCTAAATCATGTCAAATGATCTTTATTCGTCTATTATTATAGAAACTTGTGATAAGTTTTAAGAGAAGTTTGAGCTAAGAAGAACTAAGAAGAAACTACAACCACAGATCAGCATATAGCGTTATCAGCTGTTTGTTGGCAATTTAAACCGAGAGGAAATACTGTTTTTTTTACATGTATGCAAGGGTGCTGCTGCTCAACCTACCGACGTAACTACTGCTTCATGACAATGTGAATCGGGAGATAATGCTGATGTTTTTACATGTTTGCAAGGGTACTCCTTCTCAACCTACCCTCTGAATTGGAGCTCGGAGCTGACTTTCACTAAGCTTCATAAAACAACCTTTTTTTATACTACGATATTGGCCTATCTGATGATATACAGTGTAGCCTATAGATCCCTGATACACCAAGGGAGTCACGTGCGCGTTGCCGACCCTTAACCACATTAAAAATTTTAGACCTGAATGAAATTGATCACATTAACCTGTTCCTAGCTCGTGGGCTATAGTGTAATAAAATAGTACCGGTGTTTGTTCGACAGATGGCAGGCGGGGCGTGGCGGCGCGCAGCCGGCGGCGGCGCGGCGGCTGGCGGCGCGAGCCTGGCGCCTCCGCACAGAGCTGGCGGGCCGCGCCGCACTGTACGCGCGGCCCGCGCCGCCAGCGGTGAGCCTAACTTAATAATTATAACCTCAGGACAATTCACACAGCGCCATCTAGACCCAAGTTAAGCTAGCTAAAGCTTGTGGGCGGGGGGAAATGGGATTGTTAGTAATGTGGACTAATGAACCCATTACTAGCAATGTACCATATCAGGTTGACCTCCACGCGGTTCCCCCTGGAAACCATCGTGTTAAATTCCTGGTGAATTTGTCACGATGGGCTAACTGACCTGACCTCATGCTCATATTATCACCCTCCACTGGTGCCCCGCCAGCGTAAACCGTTAGCGCAGGCGGATGCACCATTCCATTATCACATACAAAAAAAAAAAAAGCTTGTGGGCACTAGACAACTGATACAAATTATTTTTCGTTTTTATAAATACATACATATTATACATAGAAAACACCCAGACCGATATAAACAATCATACTCATGTTTATGCTGTGCGAGGAATCGAATCTGCAGCTATCGAACGTAAAGCGGTGTCCTAAGCCGCTTGACTACCGAGGTCGTCATATAAATTACCTTGATAATTATAAATACAAAGTACCTATATCGCACCTACTATAATTTTCATAGTGTTGATAATAATGACATCAATGTCGATGATGATGATGATTTTGATGATGTTGAAAATGATGATGATTTTATTTTATTTATTCATTTATTTCATACAACTATAAACAATATCAGTAAATTACCTTGTCCCTCAATTCATATACCATGTCCAAATATCCGCAGTAGTGCAATGATGTCCAGGGTCTCTGTAATTGACAATCGGACATATTTGCTGTAATGTTTAGAAGGCTGTTTGCTCTCCCCCAAATTCTACACATTTCCTCATTATAGCGTGAAACCCTTCTAACCGCGGTTTTACAGTCATTAAAACACAAACACAGTTATTATTTTGAAGTGTAGTCGATATTTTCATTGTCATCATTTTCGACATAGTTTAAATCATTGTCATCATCAACAATTACATCATCGTTATCATCCTTATCGTCATCATCATCGACATTATCCTAATCTACATCATCACTACCACTATCATCATCGTCACCATTATTACCATCATCCACCTTCCTTTATTTACAGTTCTAGTTACATAAAAAATGTCTATATCTTTTTTTATTCTTTTTTATATTCCAGGTAACATCGACATGCCTCCACCATAGCCAATTGGAGGTGTCGACCGAAGTGTACAACGGTCACTCTAGAACTTTCTATACCACTCCCGACCGTGAGTTGGACGAAATAGTGAAAATTGATAAGAATAATTGCCAAAAGAATGTTAAGAAGAGCGTATCGTTGTCCACTCAGTACAAGCCGACCCACAACAAGTCGGAGATCGGACACAAGCGGAAGAGTTGCCCGTTACACAAGAAGAAGAAGATGAAGGAGCATAACACGTTTTCTCCGTTCGTTTCTGACCATTTAATAAAGACTTATTAGTTTGTAAGTTTGCGATAAGTTACAGTAGGTAGACTTATACGTTCATATTACTGTCAGTTAAAAACTTACTCAATTGTAATGGCATTTCCCACAGCGCTGAAATTATTTCTTTGTATGAAATATAATTTATAGGTACCCTTTCTATGAAAATCGTACAATTACAGTTTATACAAGGTATAAAGGGACAGGTTGGCCAAAACGAAAACAGCTGATTCAGATGAATGGTCTGAGTCAGATGGTAAAGTATTTTCTCAGCGGAAATGCACCACAGCCATGTAATTAACGATCCTTAGTTTTGACGCCGTGCAATATATTGTGTGCAATGTGATTTTACGTCAATTCAAAACTGATCAGCGCGGGGAAGGATTTTAAATCAAGTAACATTGATGCTTTATGGTATTTTATATTATTTCGCTATGAAATATTATTATTGCTTTATATTATTACATAATATCATAGTTCACATGATTTTAAAAGAAAATACATTAAAAAATTTCCGGAAAATATTTCCACTTGTTTTCAGTTCAGAATAATGGTCTGAATTGAGAGTTTCAGTTTCAGTTCAATGTACAAACATTACATAGTATAAAACAAAGTCGCTGTCGCTGTCAGTCCCTATATATGCTTAAATCTTTAAAATTACGCAACGGATTTTGAAGAGGTTTTTTTAATAGATAGAGTGATTCAAGAGGAAGGTTTATATATATAATATATGTACACCCGTGCGAAGTCGGGGCGAGTAGTTAGTACTGAATAAATGAAGGTGCACATGGTGGATGTAACACCTTGAGGTATTTTCTCCCTTTAATATCGTTTGTCTTTAATGATAATAATAATTACTGGATATCAAAAATAATCATCATAATTTCATTTATTACAATATATATATATTAGTTATTAGTGAAAAACTATGGAACTTTTTCTTTCCTATTTTTTTTCTATCATCTGTTTAAAATAACATCACCAATATTAGCCAATTGATACTTAGTATTTTTCTTTAGTCTCTTTAAGTTTTATTTTTTACTTAGTATTTTTATATTGACTTAACGGCCTCGGTAGTCTAGCGGTATAACATACTTCTTTTCTCCCTATTGTCGCAGGTTCGATTCCTTGCATGGTACAAACATTTATATTCATGAGTATGATTGTTTGGTCTGGGTGTTTTCTATGTCTATTATGTATGTGTTTATAAAAAAAAATATCTAAGTATTTATTTCACTTGTCTAGTACCCATAATAAATACTATGCTTACAGTGGGACTAGATGCAACTGTGTTATTTTCAAATTCAAATTCAAAATATCTTTATTCGTGTAGGTCTATTACAGACTCATATATGTCAAATCTACCGACAGGTCGGAATGATTTCGAGATGAGAGGAAGTGACTTGTAATCTTTTCAAAGAAAACAATAATACAGATATAATGTTAATTCAAATTTGGGTTAAATTTTTTTTTACAATTTTTTATCTTATTATTATTATTAATTATATTAATGTACCTTTATTTCAATTGTTCAAAAATGTTCGTTAACTTGACAGTGATATTGAACGAAATAATTAATGTATATTTAAAAAAAAACCTGTATATACTCGTATAATAAAAGGTCTATTTCATATTCTAATCATACGCCATTTTATGCAACCAAACACAATAGAGTAATAATTTATTTGTATTGTAAATAGAATTGTGTTACATTATTTACTAAGTAAAGTGGGTTAATTTACAATTGGTTTATTTATTTTCTAACTCAATAATTGCATGCTCTGTTCAATTATATCATATCTAACATATATAGATAGCTACACGCCCCGGCTTCGCACGGGTGTACATGTATTATATATATATAAACCTCTTGAATCACTCTATCTACTAAAAAAACCGCTTCAAATTCCGTTGCGTTGTTTTAAAGATTTAAGCATACATACGAGTAGGGACGGACAGACAGAGACAGCGACTTTGCTTTGTAATATGTAGTGATTTATATTGTTGTTACCTAATAGAGAATTCTAGTTGTTACACGCAATTTTCTTTGTCTTTCAAGAATGAGTAAGAAACTTGCATGCTGCTTTTTGTTATCATTACATAGTATAAAACAAAGTCGCTGTCGCTATCTGTCCCTATGTATGCTTAAATTTTTAAAACTACGCAACGGATTTTGATTCGTTTTTAATAGAGTGATTCAAGAGGAAGGTTTATATATATATAACTGGCTTTTACCCGCGGCTTTGCTCGCGTAAAATTATCCTCTTAGAGGTGGAATTTATCAAAATCTTTTCTCAGGGGATGCCTACGTCATAGTAGCTTTCTGAATGTAAAGACTCAGCCCGATCGGTTTAAAATTGACAAAGTTTCATACAAACTTTCATCCCCTATTTTATCCCCTTGGGGGTAGAATTAATCATAATCTTAGCGGATGCCTACGTTATAACATCTATCTGCATGCCAAATTTCAGCCCGATCCGTCAGTGGTTTCGGCTGTGCGTTGATAGATCACTATGTCAGTCACCTTTGATTTATATATATATAGATGTACACTCGGGCAAAGGCGAGGCGAGTAGCTAGTTCAAAATAAATACACATTAACAAGGAAGAGGCAATAGAAACCACTAGGCATTCATTCTTTCAAAGAGGTTACTTTATCTATCTAAATCAGATGTGGATTGCCAACATCGTGATTATTGTCTCACGACACGGCTGAGTTCAGTAGATGCAATAAAAAGTACAGTTAACATGATGTAACAGCGAGATGTCGTGTTTTTTTTATGGATGACAATTGTGTGCACCCGCCTGCGTTAACGGTTTACGCTGGCGGGGCACCAGTGGAAGATGATAAGATGAGCATGAGGTCAGGTCAGTTGGCCCATCGTGACAAATTCACCAGTACTTTATCACGATGCAAGGGGAACCGCGTGGAGGTCAACCTGATATGGTACATTGCTAGCAATTAGATCATCAGTCCACATTACTAACACTCGCTCCCCCCCCCCTCCCCCGGGATATCGTGTTATGGAGTCACCTTTTTTTATACTACGATGTTGGCAAACAAGCATACGGCCCAGCTAATGGTAAACGGTAACCGTAGCCTATGGACGCCTGAGACACCAGGGTTGTCACGCGCGTTGCCGACTGTTAAGAAACCTTAATGTACCTTTCTTGAAAAACCCTTAATTATGATTCTGTTATAATTCCACTAACACTGCAATGCTCTGATAAAGTTTATTTTAATTCATACATTTATTTAGGGACTCTCAGTTTTAGATAAAGTTTTAAAAACTCATAATATGCGATTGTAAAAAATCATAATGTTTTTCTATCTACATTTCATTGGCCTGATATACAATGTAAGTATTGTAAATAATTGTAAATTAAATGTAATTGTAAATAAACCAATATGTACGATAATTTGTTTATCAATGTAAATATATCATTATGGTTTGATATTACCAAATGATGGAAACTAAATAGAATAGAATAGAAAAGAAAATTCTTAATTCAAATATTTCTATTCAAAAGTGATTAAATTTAAATTTGAACAACTTTGAATTGTCATTAATTTTTTTTTAATACACCGCTCATTCGGAAAGCTTTTTCATCACAAGAAAAACGAGCAAGAAATTTGGGTGTTGCTCTAAAATTGCCAAAAAAATTAGTTGTAACTTTACATTGTTAAGTTGAAAATATCAAAATTTAAATCCCGGGATTCTAAACTATATCCCGGGATCGATCTCGATATCCCGGTATTATCTTTCAGTACTCCCGAAATACTGGACTTAAAGAAACTAGTCGGGATCGTATTCTCTAATTGAATACCGCTTATTCGGAAAGTTTTCTAAAGAAGAACGAGCAAGAATTTTTTGTGTTGTTCTTTTAAATAATTTAGTTGTAAGTTAAGTTGAAATGTGTGAGTACGCAGTACCAACAAACACTAGTAATGATAACCCAGGGATCATAAAATGTCATCTCATCCCCATCTAATTAGAGCTTGTAATATGGGTAATAAACAACTGATAAAAATATTGAAATACATTTTTTTGTAAATAAACAATATTTAATAATAATAATGTCCCTGGACAATTAACACAACGCCATCTACTCCCAAGTTAAGTACAGATTGTGTTATGGGTACTAGACAACTGATATAAATACACAAATACTTTTTTTTTGTAAATACATAGCGACACCCAGACTGATACAAACAATCATACTCATGAATACAAATGTTTGTACCGCGTGAGGAATCGAACCCGCGACTAACGGAAGAAGCGGTGTGCTAAACCGCTAGACTACCGAGGGCGTTCATATGTATATATATAAAACACCCAGACCAATACAAACAAGGCTGTGAAATATCAGGGTAAAGAGGGTACTAACGCCTGCAACACTAGGTGTGTCATCCACCCTTAAGAAACCATAATATACCCTTCTTGAAAAACTTTTAAAGCCATAGTGAGTCTCGTGATGTTGCTGACGTCACGATTATGTCGCCACCAATAGGAATAGAGATAAAGAGGCCGGGAACAAGGAGGGTGCGGGCTGCTCTCTCTCTGTTCGAGGCGACCGAGATGACCACACGTGAATGTACAGCGACGCAATTTATGTGGAGTATAATTTGAAGAAAGAAATAAACTAAATGTACTGCTGCATCGACGTATCATTTCTGAAACTTCCCAATAGTTGCCATATAGTTATAAAAAGAAAATATATTTAATCTTGAAACAAATACAGTGTATCAACCTCAGACTTATTGGCTGGTCATGGCACGAAATTTGTTCCAATATGTATAGATAGATAGATAAATTATTTACTCACAATTACAGACACATAACATACATGAGATACACAAAAAACACGAATTAATAAAAGAAATGTAGGTGACTTTATGTGCCGCAAAAGTGAAAAGGTAGTCAGCATAATGCTACAGATAACTCTGCAACGCTGATATTCTGTTGTTACTTATACTATACTTATTACTAAGAAAATAACATAAGTATTAATGTATG